CAAAAGGGGGAAAGACAGCGGCAGTTTTTTTTTTTTTTTTTGCGTCGGTTAACACCGCTATGTCTGAACAAGCCTTTTATTGAACCATGGAATGCAGACAAAGGGATAGAATAAGAAAGTACATGAAAGGTACAATTAACCCCCTCCCCCGGCTGTATGACACACATATCCTCCGAGTCTGCGGTTCACTTAAACATATTCAAATTTATGGATCTTTCTTTCCTGGGGATCTAGTGACGAGTTATTCCATATTAAACTACTTAGATTCCAGTCTTCATACATTACGTGTTGTTAGATCAGGAAAGCCTCGGGCAAGTTTTCAGGTTGTTTAAAAAGTGTGCATACAATTTGAAATGTTAGTAAACCGGTCTTTTGCTCTGCGGTAAATGTCCTATAATAACCGAGCTGAATCGAATTCCAAACTTCAACTCAACACTGATCCCAACCCTAATCCAAACCTAAAATTGAGTTGCAGCCCTACCCCTAAACCACAGAACTGAAAAATACGTATTTTTCAATTTTGTGGCCCGAAACCATATTTTTGACAAAATAAAACCCTAAGCAAATGTTGCCAGGGCAACATATAGGTTCATCCCACCCCTCCCACAACACACTCTCACACGTGACTTTCCTCTATTCCCTCCTTCCTCTCTCGACATGTGTTTTAAACCAAAGAGGTTTCAGACCTGGGGGTGTTTCACAAAGATTCTAAGTCAAACTTAACTCCAAGTTGGACTTAAATATTATGGAGAGCCATGTGTAGCCTTATAATGAAATACATTCAAAAGCAAAATTCAAGTATTTTAGACTTTTCATAAATTCCATATCAAGAACATGAAATCTCCCAAGGTAATAGAAAATATCAATAATTTGAATCAACATTTTATGCCTTTAAAAATATTTTCTATGATGCTAACGGCTTTCTATAATTGTTAAGTCCAACTTAGAGATAAGTTCAATTTAGGATCTTTGCGAACCCCCCCCCCCCCACCCCGCCTGGAGTCCCAACTTGCAACAATTTTTTCAAAGCAGCTGCCGTTTCCTTAGGTTGCACAATAGAATCTACAGGTGTGCTGTTACCTTTGATGTCCGAGGTTCGAAGCCGCATATATCATTAGACAGATTGAGTAGTGATTTTGTTCACAAAGTAATATCGTTAATATTTCGCTTTTTATTTAAACTAACAAGAGGAAAATCGAACAGGTGTTGAAATATGAATACAAAAGCCTAATTGTGTCAAGAAATTTGTTTACATTGTATAATAGCAGTTTTAATTCATGCTAAATATATTTATTTGTCATAAAACCTGTAATTTGACACTTTTCCGATTACTTCCGACTCACGAAAATAAAAAAATGAATGTGTTCATGTGCAGTTTTTTATGATGTTATATGTCAGATTGGTGCCCACACATGCACAGTCGAGTAATTTTGATTAATATTTCAGGAAATTTTGCTCCATTTCCTTTCGCTTGCCTCCTGTAAAGGTAAGCACTGTGTACTGCTCGTATTATATCAGACGAGTGATAGCGAAAAGTAATTATAATTACAAAGCATATTTCCCTTTGAAAGTCGCCCGTTAGTTTGCAGCTAGGCAGGAATCTTTTGTCTACGTATTGAATTGAATTGAATTGAATTGATTCGGTTTATTGCAATAAAACATGCAGCTGGAAAGCTGAAATTGCTCAATTTACAGGGTCAATGTAAAAGTCAAGGTCAATGTACAACACAATACGCGATCAAAATATAAATGACTAAAACGTATGACCATAAATCATGCATAATGAAACTTAATAAAACTCTCAAATATTACATAAAAGTCTAGTATATTACAAATATTAAAAACATGAAAAACTTCTGGGTCATCAAAGGTTACAGAGAAAGGAGATACAGAAGGAACTAGAAAGAGGAAGAGAAGGGAGAAGAAGAAAGAAATAAAAGTTGATCAGAGAATATACGAAAGATTGGAGGAGAGGGGTAGAGAAGGACAGAGTAGAAAATGAAAAGTAGAAAGAGAGAAGAATTGTATGTTTTCATTAAAAACAGGAAAAAAGTATCTGCAATGAAGATCCAGTAAGGCACATGCCTGACACATTTCCTCCTTGCGGCATCGACGATGGTACAAAGGGAATGAGCTAGATATGACTCCATCTCTTAAAACTCCTTGTTCAAACACATAAATGCAGCTTGTGTAGCCGATCTCTATAAACTGGCTACTTTCAACGTTTATAGAGATTTTAGCTCATTAGCATCTTAATGATGGATACAGCAGTAACCCTGCATAATATGATATACTTAATGCAGAAAATAGTTTGAGGTCTGTAAAACTAGTACTTTTGTTTTTAATGAACAGTTTTACTGTGTTCGGTATATTGTATTGATGGATTGATGTTCTATCCGAGAAACAAAAAAGAAAATGGCGAAAGCACACCGGGTGGTTATGTTCCCCTTATGAGGCGATCGTTTATCCTCGAGACCACTCTGTCTCACTGCTACTACCTATTTGGCTTTCGGTTGTCAGTTGTTTCGGAAAAGGGTAGATTTACAGATCGAGAAGTATCAGGGACTTAACTTTGATATCGTTGCAATTTCAAAGAGTCGAGCGAAAAGGGCGAATAAACATAGTTTTTTGTTTTATCTCTATAATTCCTTTTTAGGGCTTTATATGATGAAATAAATAATTAAAAAAGAGCACATCAGTCTATCAATGACATAAAAGGGTTGAATATTATACCCCCCTCCCAAAGAAGAAAAACATATAACAAAATAACTAAATGCGATAGCGCACTCGCTTGGAATCGAACCCTGTATCTTCCAATGAAGAGGCGATCGCTTTAACTGTAAGGCCATTCTTCCTCACTGTTACTATCTATTTCGCTTCTTCATCTAAACACTTTTTTCAGAGAAATGTATATTTAATCATTGACAAAAAAAATGGCATTCGTTTACGCTTTTAGAGTCGCCCTATAGAGAAAACAATGTTTTGATTTTCTTGGTGATGGAACATGCAGAATGTACTTTTATATCAGTTGGCCTCTGCGTAGAGAAGCGTAGTGCTCCCCGACATAGCAATAAAGTAAAGGAAAGTGCTCTTTTCAATTAAGTACGCATATTCTCAGCGAGATTCGTGCGAATCCCCCTGTTTTTCCATGGTCTCCCCGAATTTTCATGGTCTGAAAATCGTTCGTACGGCGTTCGTAGCAGTTCGTAATGGCGTTTGTGACCGAGGCCTTACTCAGAGAGGCACGCACACTCTCATCTTTTATTTACAAGCATTTACAATAAACAAACTGGCTGCAAAATTACTGAGAGAAGAATAAAAATTATGTTTAATGGACAGGTTTTAAACGTACATTGATGAAAAACAGTCCTACAAATACTATGCAGAAAATGTAACAGAACATAAGTATGTGTATTAAAACCACGGAGGAAACAGTGTCAGATTTTAATTGTTTTCCTAGCTGGTCTTACAACTTAGATTCAGTACGTAGATCGAGGCAAAAGTGGCAATAAAACGCGTATTATCATTACTGTTTCTGTTTATTCTTGGTGTGGGGGAAGGGGCTGTGTGATTAAACATTTATAATGTACAGTCCTTTTAGTAAGCTTCTGCGTAGGGCTCCCCGACATAGCAATTAGGAATAGATAAGTGCTCTATTCAATAGACCGGTATACTATAGTGACCAGTTATTCCATTAACCTGTATTGATGGATATACTACAATACTTGGAATCACGTCTACTCACATTACTCGTTGCTATGTTTGGCAATCCTCGGGAAAACTTTAGGGTTTTTCCTAGCAATGAATCATTATGAGAGACAGATAGGTAACCCTTGAAACCTAAACTGGGACTTGAAGTACTTCCTAGCTAACGAGTAAATTAAAGAGAGGCACTGGTGTGATTAATAACTCGATTCATCCCTGAAAACGGGCATCATAGCGCCCCATAGTGCCCGGGCTTATACTTTCCTGATGATCACACTCCTCCGATGTATTACTGAACACCAAAAGCGATTTGTACTGTAAGCCAAAAGCGATGGTATTCAACGCGTAGCATGGCAAATTTATACGCGCGCCGTCAAGAAACTTTTGACCAATCACAGAGTAGAACTTTGAGTCAACTCGGTGATTGGTCGAGAGTTTGTACGGTGTTGTTTTGATCTACGCACGCGCAGGGCATTACTTTTTGTTGTTGGTTGTCTTACTGGAAACCTAAGACTGCAGATATTCAATATGAAGTCTAATTGAGAAAAAAAACTGTAAGTGTTTCTGGAAAGCCTCGACATAACACCGTATTTGCAGCCAACATCAAATTCTGTAGAACTTTGCAGCAATTACGAATATGTTTCTTAGGAATGTGATATCAAAGCTTACATCTAAAAGTATTCAACAAAGGCCCTAATTGAACCAGTACATCAAATTTGAAAGAGGTATGAATAATTTAGTTGTAAACTGTATATAATGAGCATTGCATCCTCAAATATGATTTGAAATGTATATGAGATGGATAACTCTCTTTTCTCTCTCTGACTTTCTATTCTCTTCGCTATCTCTCTATCTATCTATCTCGCGCGCACCCTCCCTCACCCTCTCTCTCTTCCACTTCTCTCTCCCTTTCTCTATTCATTAGCTAGCTCTTACATTCAATGTATTCCAGATCCATTTATTTATAATATTATGCATGTGTAATCATTCTTTGGTATGTTCTATCCAAGAGCTTGTGGAGTTTGACACGAGCTATCTGTCCAACAAACTCGGTAAACAAGTCGGGAAAGCCCGATCTCGTGTTAGTTCGCGAAGACTTACAATCATTTTGAAATGTTTAAAAAAAATGTATCAATGAGCTTTCCAGTTCAAGAATACAAATGAAAATGATACAAGTTGGCAACAAAATTTTCAAAAAATGAAGGACTTTGTACCCCCTGGCCCCCAAATAATAGAGACACATAACTTCTTTGTCTTTCTTCGATTAAATTAAATATTGTTGATTAGGTGTGTACCTTTTTCCAAGCAGTTTCTTGTAGAAAAGAAGAGGAAACGGCATCGTGACGATGACCTTATTGTAGAACATCAGAGCGAACAGCTTCCCGACTGATCGCAATTTGTCCAGGTCCTTAGAATCCTATGATAAGTTTTAAATACAGAAGAATACAAACTTTAATTGCACGTTGTTTTGATCCGAATGAAGGTGCACACTAATTCCATGATCAGTACAAATATTCCTGCACGAAATTCAAATTGACAAGGCATATTTTTCTTGGCCAACAAACATTATGTATATGGAGGAGGATGCAAAATGTTAGTTAGTACTCATGGTAATAAATATTTTGTAAGTTTCTGTTTATAAAGTCAATATATTGATCCCGTTTGGACATTAGCTTGCCTGCCTGAGTCTCGAACACACTCACTGAACACTGGGCCACAAGTCTTAATTACTCATTGTCGAATAATCAGATTAAAAAACCAATAAATTCATGAACAGACGACAATGTCGATAGATTTTCGAAAGTAACTCTGGGGTGAGCAAGGAAGGCTTTTATATTGGGGGGGGGGTTAAAGAAGGCACTATTACAGTATTAGTGCATTGGCATTGAAGATTAAATCAAGCAAAACATTTAATTTACATGAGGAAGTTTCTATACAGAAAACGTACTTTAAAGAGAGAGATTTAGAGGGAGGAGGGGGGGGGGGGGGGGAGGGGGCAAATACTATTGTGTTCCCCTGCCAACCACCCGTTGACGCCAGTCATAGCTATAATCAACTTACATTAACAATATATTGAGATTAGTAAATAATGGGTACTCTAACTTCCGAGATGGAAATATGAATTCGACAATGACCTTGTTAAACCACAATGTCGTACACGAAGGAGAATCGTTGAGTTTCTTGAAGATGGAATGCTTCTCAACATTGAACAGCTCTTCGAACAGTCGGGAAAAGAATTCCTTTACGAGAAATGTAAAAGAAAATACACGTTTCAAACAAAACAAAACAAAACAAAACAAAACAAAACCCCAAATTACAAAAAGTATCCAAGATCGGAAACAGTTAATAATTAATACTGGTTTTTCTTTAATTTAAAAATTACGGTCCAGTTGATAGACTGCAATATCGAAATTGAAATATCTTAATATTTATTCAGGTTCTTCATCACGAATCTTATATAGAAAAGGCGATATAACTAATATGAAAGTACAAAGAGTGGTTCGGCAGAAGATGCTTTAAGTCTTTAGTCTAATCCAATCCGAGGAAACCGGTTATAGAGCGGCTTGTAATTCTTTTGACCATCGTATTTTTAAATGTTATCCGGCTTTAGTAAATAATTAAGGCATTTTCAGCGTTGTTTCCTTCTCCAAAGCCTACAGTCACAGCGATTGAAATATTTAGTTTTGTTCAGCCGACGTCGAAGAATAAAATGTTGGAATAACTCTTTGGAATTAAGCACGTCGGCATGTTATCTTTACAAATAGAGTTATGTTTTCACGATCGCAACTGTTTTTGAAAATCAGCTCAAGGTCAATTTCAATACCCTTTATATTGCATTCCTAATATAAATGTTCAGATTACGTAATACGTCATCATCATGTTTACACATTTAGATAGGTGACGCACGAGGCTATTGAAATTGCCTTCGGTTGATGTTTCGAAAGTAGTTGCCATCGTGTGAAATGGTGTTCATATTTACCTTCATAGGGCCACCAGCATTTACACCCAAAGACACGTTATCCTTGAAATGGACTTCGAACGGGAGCATGAGACACGTTTCATCTTTATCTTTAACCTTCGAGATAGCCGATTCAACAACCTTCTCTTTGTCGTCGTCAATTTCGAATCGAAGCTTTAGTGGTACCAGACGTAAGTAACTGGTTTTCTGTAACGTTTTTTTTACAAAGCAAACAAATATTGGCAATAGTTAATCCATTCACTCAAGCGATTTAGGAAGCCTATAATGTTTCAACAACACACACACAAATGGAGAAAAAAGTTATCTGAAAATGAAATGCACTAAAACGACATTTTTAAGTGGTGAATAACGAAAACTATTCTAAAAGATAAAGCTCTAGCTATACGTTCTGATTTTGTTTTAATGAAACAAAAAACCATTAATGCTCAATATAGTATCGAAAGTAATATCGCTACTTAAAAATCATTACTTACATGTACTACATGTATCAGTGACATTCTTTACTACGCCTATATATATATATATATATATATATTAATAGAACCAGGGGCGTACGCAGGATTTTTTCAAGGGGGGGGGGGGGTTTTAAAATATTTTGCTCCCGAAAATTTTCGTTGGGGGGGGGGTGAGGTCACCTTATTTAGGTTAGCCGTGGGTATAATTTTTTTCATTTTTTATATTTTTTTATAATAAAAAAATAAAAATAAAAAAAAAAGCCAAAGGGGGGGGGGGGTTTAGGTTTTTTTAGGGGGGTTTACATACATTAAAATACCAAAGGGGGGGGGGTTTGAACCCCCAACCCCCCCCCCCCCCCTGCGTACGCCCCTGAATAGAACAAATAATAAAAATCCTTGAGAGTTAACTTCTTCACTATGACCGGTTTTATTTTTGTTCCTTCAGATCAAGAAATAAAATTGAAACCGAAATTGCCAACTCCTCTTTAACTCGCCTTTTCATAAAAATTTGTTACGGACGGAAGGACGGACGGCAGCGTTACTTCGTCGGCGAGGGGATAATAAATTAGTTCATGCATGGTTACGAGAAGTAGAATGGTAATGATAGTAACCGTTGTATGACTTTTTTTTTATTCACTCAATCTAGTTTTTATTTATGAAGAAATCTAGAAGACATTTACTGCTTTCACGACTAGACCATGTCATTGATGTCAATGAATAGAACTTTAAACATACCATACGCTCATTATCAAAGTCCATACAGAGCATTTTCCACTTCAGAGGTACATCCAGTAGAAATGGCATGTGAGCTAATGAAGAGGGACCTTGAATAAACTTGAAAAACAAAGACAATACACTTCAATTACATAAGCGGACAAGACGAGAAAAACTCAATGGCGGGAGTCAATATCCACGGAAAAGTAGATTCCACCACCCCCCCCCCCCCCCATCCCCCACGACCGGGCCGGACCGGCTATGAGGTGGCCGTAATAAGGGCCTATTTGGGTTACACAAACTCATAAACAAATCATAAACCTATCATTAAATGTTTCTTTATAAGAATGAAATGATACATTTTAAAATAGATCTTGATACAGATTTAATTTTCATTGTCGATAATATATTTATATCAAGAAGTATACTACATTTTTTTTAGACATGTGTTTGTCTTCTTTTTCAAAATAAAAGAGGTGAAAATGATCTTTGTTTATTAAGAGATATTGAGTAGTTTGATTACTTTATAGCCTTCACCATGTACACGATAACTTATTCATTTGTTTTTGTTTCCTTCTTTTCATAATCAATATCTATTTAGGAGGGATGGGAAGGGGGGCATCCAACTGAAATTTACCGACATGTATAAAATTAATTGAAATTCTTAACAGTTTTAATTAACAGTTTGTAGTCAATTATAGGTATAGCAAAAACCCATGGATAAAACCACGGATGGAGCTAATGACAACAGTATCTGTATTGTAATATCGTCATCGAAGTGTATTTATTTATTTATTTATTTCTAATCTTTTGTCAGGGTAGCCCATTCACCAATAAGTAGTGGTCTTCCATGGGGCCCTGAATAAACATGAACATATTTACATCAAAAAGCATAACGTTTATACAGAACAGTTAAAATAAAATTCCATGATAGTACATTTAGAAAGATATGACACAAAATGAAAAAGTGTATGAAAATGAAAAGCATAAGACAATAGATACCAGGAGAGAGAGTTGCAAATGCTGTTGATGAAGCTGAAGAATATGATTCTCGATCTTCCTGTTTGTTTCTTCATCTCCTGGTTGAAGGATGTAAAACTGATTTATTGGAACCTTGTACCCAAGCGATTCATTGATCTGTATAGGAAATAATCCATGAACTTATTTCAATCTCATTGCATCATATTTATAGTGAGACAATATTACATTGAGCAGGTCCACGGGAAATCAAACTACTCTCGAGAAAAGCTGAAAAATAAGAGAAGTATATGACTGGTGAAAGTTTGAATGAAATCGGACAAACATGAGACTTTAATTGTTTTTAAAGTTGTAAATACTACAGGCATGCGCTCTTCAAATTGGCTAAATCGGTAATGTCTCGAGGATGTATGGTGGACATCTTTCCCTGTTGTTCAAACACAAAATGACTAAATTTTCACTTTTTCGAAAATGTATGATTCAGGAGGGTCTATCCTCTATAATAATATGCTATCCCTAATATACTTTGATTAGTGTCCTAAGGAAGAAGGCACTCAGGAGAAAAACAGATATTATTGATATTATTTGTACACGACAAGCGGGAGAGTTGTCCGTGAAAACGTCACAATCCACTGACTAGACTGCCGATTGGAGATACGCATAGACTTATTTCATATTTCAAACATTCATAATTTCCCTATTATTGGTCCGATTTATTTCAAATTTTCCCCATTCTATTTATCTTATTTTTCTTCTTACATACAAATGATCTTATTACCAACAAACAAAATTCCTTTAATTTTACAAATAAAGACTCCATAATGAGTGCTACATTTTGCACTGGATGTGCAACAATCACTAAACCTCAAGAGGGTAAAAGTAAAGGTTGATGATCGGAAGAGTTGATAGGTAATTTGTTTGTTTAACCGATCCGGCCCCAACAGTATGCCTCAGATAATCACTTTGCTACTTTGTTACGATCTGTATTCACGGACAACTCTCCCGCTTGTCGTGTACATGTCTACATCACTATGCATTTCACACCTATGAATATTCAAATTACGATAATACGTCACATGAAAACAACCATGAAGTCAGACGTACAGAACGACCAACAACTGTTTTAAATTGAAAATTAAATCATTTCCATTTCCCAAACATACGAACCTGTTTCAAGAGTACCAATACTGCTAAGTAGTTGATATTAAGTGGTTTTGTATTAGGTTCATGTTTCGACGCAGTGTTGTCCAGAAAACGTTTCAGCACATCCCTGAATGCCTGTACGTAGACCTTAACCACTCTGGCTAAAAGATCCGAGTCTTTATCCCACCAACGAACTGGCAAGAGAAAATAAAGTAGTTTGTCTATGGTCCAATAGTCTACGTTATCAAGACGCATCCTATGCTTCAAATCAGTCTAAAATCAACCAGTTGTAGTCAATTTGTTATTTAAAAAAATAATAATTCACGACTGAGCATTGTATTTGATCTTAAAGTAATGACTCCCATATACTTGCAAATAGTAGACCTCTACGACATAATATTTTTAATTGACCGTAATAATGTAATGTTTATAAAATCGAGATGTTTGAACGACAGGAGTGGGTCCGATGCCCTGGCCTGAGATAATAACAGGGAACATTATGCTTCAAGCCACTTTTGATTTTGTTTTACCAAGCACATCGAAGTTCCTCTTCGCTGCTTCATACATCCATGTCAAGATGTCTGCCATTTCTCTGATGATACAATCACCCCACTTTGTATCCGGCCTGTCAAAGGCTGGACAGTCGAGTAGGATCGGAACTACTCGGAGAAGATCGGGTTCGATTTCATCCTTGCGTAATTCTGAACGCATGTCACTCATGTGCCGGAAGATTACTTCTGCCACCTGCATTAAACATGAGCCAAACGATAAGCAAGAATGGGATGAAGAGTTTTAAAAGAAGGGATAATAATTATTCAGAGAGATGTAGAAACAGAGTTTGGCCAACCCAATTCGAGTTGGGCAAACCGTTTCTGCATAGATGGCTCTGGGGGAAATGGAGTAGGAAGGGGTCTCTTGTGCATTAGGAATGCTTGATTCAATCAATATACTATAATTATGGTAGGGTATTAAATCGAATTAAAAATGATTTATTAAAAATCATCCAAAGCGCAGCCCGAAAGCTGAATTGCATATCGATTCACAATAAAATAGCAGTAAAATTTGAACTTACAAAAGTATACATTAATCTTAACAATTTGAAAGCATAACATAGTTCCAGACAGTACATTATAAGATGAATCATCCTAGGGATGTTGTTATGCAACACTGAATGAGGGAGAAAAGAGAGAGAGAGAGAGAGAGAGAGAGAGAGAGAGTGGAGAAAAAGAGAGAGAACGATGAGCGCATGAGAGAAAGAGGGAAAGAGAGACAGATATTAATTATATAGTGCGATGAAAAAATGAGAGAGAAAAGGAAAGTTTCAACAGGACCTACATTTAATACATTATAACGACAGAAAGTGACTTACATGAAGACATGGATTGAATGGCATATTTAAACTGCAAAATGAAAGGAGACACATAATAATTTAACTCTTTTTAAATGAAAAGAGGGCGAGCAGCGGAGAATAAATCGAGTACAAAAATGATCAGTAAAACATGGCGGTTAACAAAATATTACAATCGATATTTAGCGGTTAGAGGGGGAAAAGGGAGAGAGAGAGGAGAGAGAGATGAAAGAGTGAGGGAGGAAGAGAGAGATGAAAGGATAAGAGAGAGAGAGAGAGAGAGAGCGAAATAGAAAGTTTTAACAATACACTTATATGGAGGATCTCCAACTGGCATTTATGTGCGATGTCATGTACGCGTAACGTATATCACAAAATACAAAGATGACTCCTATTAGATTTGTGCACAAAATTACTCGAAGTGTCGATTTTGTTCGTGATTTTTAAATAATGGAACAGATACTTATTCACGGGGGGGGGGGGGGGCAAATTAACAAGTAAAAGCATATCGCCCATAACAAATTAAGAACAAAATTATGGCTACCCTATCATGAATTCGAAAATGGAATTCTTATATTTTGTGTAGACATATTTTACAGTTCTCCTTGTCGGGGCCTTCGCATTACACATCAGAAACAAGTTTATTGACAAAAAGAAAGTTATCAATCTCAAATGTCAATTTTCATGACTTTCTTCTATCTTTGATAGCCTATCTCAAATATACCCCTCCCCCGACCCCGTATTTCTCTGATTCCACTAAAACCAACTTTTTACAAAGGGGTACCAATAATAGTACACGTGGAAGAGAGAGAGAGAAAGATAGGATACACAAAAGGGGACATTATTTTTGCCAAACACATAGAGAAGCAAATAGAGAAAAATGCACATTAAATATTTGTGCTCAGAGGCAGCGCTCCTGGAGGTCAGGAGCATAGTGCCCCATCACTTTAAAAAAAACCTAAAGTGCCCCCTTTTACATACAAAAATAGACCCCTTTTCCTTTTTGAAAACGTACATGGACATGGTGGATAGAAGCAGAAATATTAGAAAAAAATAATGAATGAATGAATGTTTTAGATATCTATGTTTTAACTGAGAAATCTCCATCGTATCTCAACACTAAAATTTCCCCCTTTCTCAATGTCATAATGAAAGTGGTCACCGATAATGCTTGAAGGAAAAATTATGTTCTATTGTCAAAGTGGAAAAAAATATAAAAATTAAATAATATTTTGATAGCAGCTATAACTGAAGAGATATATAGCATAACAAATCATGACCGAATTGCCGAGTTGAAATATGATATTTGACACTTTGATTTCAGTACTTTATCAGACTTTTTATTTCAGAAATGTTGACTAACCTCAGTCAAACAAAAAATTACTATATGCTTGACTTTAACAAAGTCCTGCGATCACAATGAATCAATTAGAGAGTGACTCCATAAAAAAACAGTCATTTTATGCATAATAATGATATCCCAGAAGATCACGTTTGTAATTATAAACTAAAATAAAATAAAAAAGAAACTTTTGCATACATGAATCAAACTGAGTGTTGTCACGTACCTGTTCTAATAGTTTGATGTTGTCTTTGAGCAGGAGAAAGGTTTCCTTCAGTGAGTCCATTTTCAAGGCCGCATATTGGTCTCTTCAAATTAAATAAACTTGTAGATTACAATACTTTGAATAATATATATAGATAGACCTACATACAATTATGATGTGGTAATACTGTTGATTTTAACAGTCATGCGGGGGCTATAAGCTAAACGTATACTGTGTATGATTAGCATTTGACAATATTCAAACAAATCTGTATAAACTGTAAACCAATACAAGTATTCAATGTCGTTAGTATCGAATCATACATACAAGGTGAAACTCTTCGAATGGTTCACAATAATGGTAAATGGAAGACTCCTTTATGTCATCGATATGGGGTATACACAATACTTTGTTTGTCATGGCAACCTTTAATATTAATAATAATAATATTACCAAGGGAGGAGTCATCAGCTTCAGTGATGTTCTTCCTGAAGGCCCTGCAATTATTATTACCCCCTCAATTAACAGGTACCAACTTACACCTGGGTGAAGAGTGGCAAATGTCGATAAATGTCTTGTCAAAAGATGTAAGTGCTTGGCTGAGATTCGAACCCTCAACTCTTATATTGAGATTCACGTGAATGAAAGGTGATGGCAGATCCAGGGACATCATGGGGACCCCCCTCCCCGTCTAAAACTGATTTGTCTTTTCCTTTGGCAGAATGTATATATTTTAGGACTAATAACTCATTTGAAAATGTTCCATTACTGAATGCACAGGGGTATAAATCCACTAACGAGTCTAAAATATGAGAGATCACTTCGTTTTGGATTTGAATCAATTCCAAAACAAAGTGCAATCCACTCCAAGGAGTAGTTTGCATTTCTCTCTTGAGAATGGTTTAAAAAGTGTGTTTCTCCTCCAAAACAAAATTGTCACTAACATGAATCCTGAAAGAGTGCACTCCCATTTCTGTGGATTTAAAGAGTGTGATAAACCCCCTTTTGTCACGTATGCCACCAACCCCTCTTCACACCCATCAGAAAATCTTGGATCCGCCAATGTTTATAAATACATTCAATTCGATGTGGTTTATTTAAAATTATAAAAAATATTAGTCTATAGGGAATAATTGCGCAATGTTTACAATGTACAAAGGTCATAAACTAGGATCATCGATTTAAAAAAAACATTAATGAACAAAGCATTAATGATTAGAAGTTAAAGTACATCATCATTCGAAATAATCACACTTTCATACAAGTATAAAGCTTTGGAAACAAAATGTTCATCATTTTGCAACATAGAAGTAAAAGATCACTCGAATATTTAGTTGGAAATTAGCTGATTTATATATGATGCAGTATAAAAGACAAAATCTTCTGAATTTATTATTCCAAGATGCATACTCATGTGTGAATCAAAGGTTCAATGTTGGATATAAAAGAAATAAAACTATATATTTGTAATACAAACATAAAGGAAACATGGCTAGTAAGTATCCTTACCCGAGCCTAATGAAATCAGTATCTCGGAATGCTTCTACCAGACATCTTGGTGACATCGCTGTAAAAAGCTCGGATCGTTGCTTCTGTGTTAGATCAGCTCCAGGATCTAATCTGAAGATGCTCTCCAGTACTATCTTGGAATTGGTTGCCATGGTTATTGGTTCCTGAATATATCCAGCTGAAGATATTTTAAAATGGAAATTAAAAGCAAAATATTTATATTTTTCCATCTTTTCAACGACCATGAGGTTTTCCGTGGTATCCAATTAATGTTTGTATCCAATACAGAATATAACAATATCAGGGAAGGGGCTACCCCACTCCAAAGTCGGTTTCTACAAAACATACACATGCTAGGTTACCCAGCAGTTGTGGAATTTCATCGTTTTCAAACATGCAACCCCCCCCCCCTCCACCTGCACCTTTCTAATAACCCTATAGCAGTCTCTACAATGGAGATGGAGTGAATTCCTGCAGACTGTACATAGTCCAAGATAGACCAAAATGAGAACATATTTATTCCTTATTCATTTTTCATACAGAATATTTGAACAATAAATCAATCACTGATATTAGGTAAGATAAGATAAGATATGTATTCGTCTTTCTTTCAAATGACACATAGAACATAACATTAGATCATTATACATTTACAATGCAAAATAACAAATTATGGCAATGATAAAAACAAAGTTAACTAAAAGAAAGACGAGGAGACCCTGGTAAAAGCAGAGTTTGTAAGTTTTGGGTCCCCTCTGAGCCAGATAAACAAGATGAGTAGATATTTGTGACTACCTAAGAATACAATACGGAAAAGTGGGTATAAAAAACAAGAAGTGTACACACACAACAAAAACAAAACGAGAGACGAGACTAGACAAGACGGGAGAAAAGAGAAAATATGAGAAATAATAGAAGACTACAACACATCGCCAATGAATAGGCACAGCACACAACGGGCACAAGACAACAGGGGGAGGGAATACTACTAGAGGTTGACAATCTGAAAATATATTGATAACACCAAACAAATGGTGTCAAATAAGTACCTTAAATCCTAGCTTTCAAATGAGTATGAACGTAATTATTGTACGTACCGTGATATGATCCTTCTCATTCAGTGTACTGCTACGTGAATATATGAACGACAGTGTGTACAAATAGACGGGGCTGAATTGCGCTCGTACCATAATTTCATAACACTAAGCACAGCGCCGTATGGTACGTTCATTCCCACATACCGTACATGCAATGCGGGGAATCCCCATCTAAAAGGTTTGCATTGCGAAATCGGCGTGTGCAATCTAGAATGATCTCACAAGACAATGTAGTTGACTTTTGTAGGGTGTATGTACAGGCGCGTACGCAGGGGGGGGGGGGGGGGGGGGGGGGGGGGGGTGTTTGGGGGGTTGAACCCCCCTTTGGTATTTTTATGTGTATAAACCCCCCTAAAAAAAAAAAAACCCTAACAAAAAACTAAACCCCCCTTTGTTTTTTTGGTTTTTTTGTTGTTTTGTTTTTGTTTAATAATAATAATAAAAAAAAAAAAAAAAATTCCCATGGCTGACCTAAAAAAGGCGACCTTACCCCCCCCCCCTATCGGAGCAAAATGTCAAATTTTCATATTTCGAGACCAAAAAAAAAAGTGTCCTATTACCTCCACCCCCCCCCCCCCCGCTTATTCAGCGGCCGGCTGAGTCGTTGCGAAATTTTCGGCCCGATTTAAAAATGTTAAACCCCCCCCCCCCCCCCTTGAAAAAATCCTGCGTACGCGCCTGTTACCCGCTGTGACGACTTCGAGGGTGACTAAAACTACAATACCTGTATTTTCTCGAAGTTTCACTTTCCTATAATATCAGCTAATGAAATCAGAGGTTTAAAATTTTCGGGGAAAACTTCATTTAGACGAGCTGAGAACGGTACAACGAATCGTCTTCTTTCTATATTAATTAAATCAAACACCTAACCTTTTCGCTCTTCGCGCGGAAAGGGGGAAACTGAATTCAGACAAGGATTAAGAGTCGAAAACGGTACAACAAATCGTCTGCTTTTCTCATAATTTAATGAAACGTCAAAGCTGGTTTTATTTGTTAGGTTAAGGATAATGGTTATTGTTAAAGTTAACTCCGGAGTTAAAGATAAACTTTAGTACTGGTAATGCGATTGCATTGTGAAAGAAAAGGTGTGGAAAGGATCAGAAACAGTTGATCATGTAGCATGAAAGTATTGGTGTGCACTGCAAGGTTCTGGAGTCATCATAATCATAATAAATTTGACCGAGTCTTGGTAAAGTAACAAGCACTCACATAGAAAGCTATATATGGGACAACACACATGGTGTCGGGGCTAGTACTACTGTAGTAGGCCATAAATATAGCAGAGCAGAGCAGCCAGAGCTAGCAGACGACAGGTGCCGCCCTCACCACTAGAGGGCGGCATTGCACTTCGGAGGCCAGCTGAGCTGAGCTACTAGCTGCACACTCGGATCCTCTCGCGCGACACATATATATATGGGTGCGGCGGGAAGATTCTACCTCTTCAGCACAGACAAGTAACCAGTATCAAGCACCTATTCCGGACCTGGAGGACGTATTTCCTCAAGGCCAATTAGGTGAGTGAGCTATGGTTACTTTTACCAAGTAGGCGCACAGCCTACTTCACTACCTTGATTTCCTTGTCTTTCTATGCTCATTACTCAGCCAGTATACATTTTCTTCCAAAATTGTTTGGCACATGTCATTTATTTGTAATCTTTAACATTCAGTGTGAGTTTCGTTTGATTCTGTGAGAATTATTATTTTTTTTACCAGTACTGGAGTTTATCTTTAACTATTGTTGGACCTTGATTGAAGCCGGAAATTTGGTTGTGTAGTGACTTTCCTCGGAGGAAATGCCGCCACTCAATCACACAGTAACCGAGCTAGAACTAAGAAAACACATCAATATACATACACCCTACACACAGTCAAATACATTGTCTTGCGAGGTCAGTCTAGATTGCACATGCCGTTTTCGCAATGCAAACCTTTCTGTAAATAAATGACCGAAGAGATTACGCAACAACTATTATTAGCGAGACGGGGATTCCCCGCATTGCATGTACGGTATGTGGGAATGAACGTACCATACGGCGCTGTGCTTAGTGTTATGAATTATGGTACGAGCGCAATTCAGCCCCGTCTATTTGTACACTTTTGCTGTCGTTCATTATTATAACATTCACATGAAGTACACTGACTGAGAAGGATCATATCACGGTACGTACAATAATTACGTTCATACTCATTTGAAAGCTAGGATTTAAGGTACTCATTTGACACCATTTTAATATATTTGTTTAGTGTTATCAATATATTTTCAGATTGTCAACCTCTAGTCTTATTCCCTCCCCCTGTTGTCTTGTGCCCGTTGTGTGCTGTGCCTATTGGCGATGTGTTGTAGTCTTCTATTATTTCTCATATTTTCTCTTTTCTCCCGTCTTGTCTAGTCTCGTCTCTCGTTTTGTTGTTGTTGTGTGTGTACACTTCTTGTTTTTTATACCCACTTTTCCCTATTGTATTCTTAGGTAGTCACAAATATCTACTCATCTTGTTTATCTGGCTCAGAGGGGACCCCAAAACTTACAAACTCTGCTTTTACCAGGGTCTCCTCGTCTTTCTTTTAGTTAACTTTGTTTTTATCATTGCCATAATTTGTTATTTTGCATTGTAAATGTATAATGATCTAATGTTATGTTCTATGTGTCATTTGAAAGAAAGACGAATACATATCTTATCTTATCTTACCTAATATCAGTGATTGATTTATTGTTCAAATATTCTGTATGAAAAATGAATAAGGAATAAATATGTTCTCATTTTGGTCTATCTTTGACTATGTACAGTCTGCAGGAATTCACTCCATCTCCATTGTAGAGACTGATATATGGTTATTAGAAAGGTGCAGGTGGAGGGGGGGGGGGGGGGGTTGAATGTTTCAAAACGATGAAATTCCACAACTGCTGGGTAACCTAGCTTGTGTAGACTTTGTAGAGACCGACTTTGTAGTGGGGGTAGCTCCTTCCCTGATATATCCGCGTATGCATTAATGAAGACTAGATGAAATATTCTGTATTTTAATTTGGATTAAACAATTAAATTGGATACCACGAAAAACCTCATTTTCGTTGAAAAGATGGACAATTAAATATATTTTGCTTTCAATTTCAATTTCAATTCTAAAACATCTTCAGCTGGATATATTCAGGAACCAATAACCATGGCAACCAATTCCAAGATAGTACTGGAGAGCATCTTCAGATTAGATCCTGGAGCTGATCTAACTCAGAAGCAACAAACCGACCTGTCTACAATGATGTCACCAAAATGTCTGGTAGAAGCATTTCGAGATACTGATTTCATTGGGCTCGGGTAAGGATACTTACTATACACTCTTAGAAAAAAGGGTGCAAAATAAGAGTTTGCACCCTTTACATAAAAATGAACCCTATTGAAGGAAAAGGGGTTAAAAAAAGGGTGCAATATAAGATTTTGCACCCTTCCCACAAAAATGAACCCTATCGACCAAAAAAGGGTGCAAAATAAAAGTTTGCATATTGCATGCATATTCATGATTACTTCTGGTTCTGGCTCTGGTTCTGGATTTTACTCCGACAAAGCGGGATCCCGCATCACGTCAGAGGGCTGACCTGGGGGTTGACCTGGTGGAATTATTTCCGATTAGTGTTTGTGAAAAAATCGCAGAGCCTTTTCTTAAAAATATCTATGTTTGGGGCGTCTAGGATGTAATGAGGCAGGTCGTTCCAATATTTACCAGTCCATGGGAAGAAGCTATTTGTGTAAATTGTTGAGTTGGTTCTAGGTCTCTGAAAGGATGATGGGTGTGTGCGTCTTATGCTAGGAGTCCACTGGGCCGGCGCCAGTTGGTGCCAGTTCGCGCCAAAGATTATGTGATTGGCGCGTAGTGGCTCGCTGTGGCGCCGAATTAATGTCCGCTCGGCATGTGTCGCCAAGTGGAATAAACTGGGTGCCATATGGCGTGCGCCAAATGCCACCCGGCTTGCTCCAAAATGTTGCGCCAGTTCGCGCCAGTTCGCGCCATTACACGGCCATTTGATTCCAAAATTCACCCTGTTGGCGCCATTCGCGCCAATAGACGGCTACTTTGCGCCACTTGGTGATTAGTTTGTGCCAAAGGTCGCCAAATTGGTTTGAACTTGCCGCCGCTTGGCGCTACTTGCCGACTAAATAAATACCGGCCATTGGCTACCTGGTTCAGACCCTCCTCAGCTGCTGTATGAACAACATCTCTACTAAATATTTACAATTTTGATATGTCTGAGGCTTTTGATAATGTTGGAGTGATGATGCTGCTCCATCAGAAGATGATGAGAGATGCTGAGGTGGCCACTGCCTATCAACTTATGCTGGCCAATCCTGAAGGAGAAGAGCCTCCTAAGAAGAAAAGGAAGCACAACTGCCGCCATCACTGTGAGAAAGTCCTGTTGTTGTTAATTTAAATTTGTTTTGGCATTGCAGTCAGAAATGACTATTTATGCCAGCTAGAAATAGCGGTATTTATTTGAATATATTCATATATATATATATATATATATAATATTTTTTTTTAATTATTATTATTATTAATTTTTTTTTGTGCTCATTTTTTGTTGTTGTTATATATTTGGAATTCGAAATTAAATGATGTGGCACACTCTTTCATAAGAGCCGTGACTCAATACAATTATGTAGCTCTTTTGGATAAGAGAAAACAAAATGGGGAACAAGTAGACGTAAAACGGTGGCACATATACATAAACATCAAAACAATAGGTGTACATTAGGAGGTGCATTTGTTAAATTCTTATACTGTTAATAAAATGATTAACATCAAATAACGTTGAGTTAGTCTTTGCCGACTATTCAAAAAAGATCAATGCCGTGATATAGAAAATTTACTAGGTAAGAGATTAACCATGGGTTAAATAGTGCAGTAACTATGAAAGGGTTTCCAGCTCTCGTGAGATGTTCCCCCTTTTCTAAAATAAACCCACATTTTAACCGGTATTATCGAATTTGATGATCTTGGTATTATACAGGTATAGAGTTGATATAAGTTATATAATTATACCCAAAGCATAACAAAAAGAAAAAGATATATATAGTACCCATGTACAGAATATCAGTTCTCAAAAGCTTATCCTCGTCATTATCTTGATATGAACCAGTAGTATCTATTTCGATGATATTACTATAATATCGATATAGAAACATAAATATGTAGGCAATGTACCCAAAACCCAAAACAGAGAAGTACCTTCGAAAAGAATGCCCGCTCTCATAAGCTATAATTAGTTATTATCTAATATGACCAGTGTTGAAGGCAGTGATTACGATTACTGTGATTCTATTACAGTATTATATTGTTTATCGAAATATGATTTTTTTTTTAAAGGGAAGAGGTCACCCCAAGGCAAAACAAAAAGGAGGTCCCTTAGAAAGAGTGTCAGCTCTCAAAAGTTGTTCCTTCTATTTAATTTAATTTCACCCTGTTGTAGAAACTTTATATTGAATTATGATAATATTAATATTGTATTGATATAGAACTACTAATAAAACTAATATTGTATTGATATAGAAATATAATAGGTAACATTTCCACCAAAAGCTTAGGAGAAAGTCCTGCGATGCCGCCCTGCTTTTATAGGTGGCAAGTGGCGCCGAAAAGCGGGCAATCAGGTGGCATTTGGCGCGAAGTAGTCACCAATCGGGTGCCGTTTGGCTCGCGTAGTGGCGCAAATAAGGTGCCCCTTGGCGCCAAGTGGCGCCATGTGGCGCGAAATCTCGTTGGCGCAACTTGGCGCGCGCCATTACATTCCAGTGGATTCCAATAGGCGGATTGTTTGCGCCAAAGGGCGATATGTTCGCGCCATTTGGTGCCACTTGGCGGACACTTGGCGCTGATTGCTCGATGCAAGTGGCGCGACGAAAATTTCAAACATTTTGAAATTTTCTTGCCGCCAAATTCAAATTTGGTGCCGTTACGGGCCACCACGAGCCAGTTGGGAGGCAGTTTGAGCCACTACACGCCACTAGGCACCTTATTGGCGACACTAGGCGCCACAGCAAATTGCATTGGCGCAAACTGGCGCAAACTGGCGCCGGCCCAGTGGACTCCTAGCATTATGGAATGTAATGGCGCGCGCCAAGTTGCGCCAATGAGATTTCGCGCCACATGGCGCCACTTGGCGCCAAGAGGCACCTTGTTTGCGCCACTACGCGAGCCAAACGGCACCCGATTGGTGACTACTTCGCGCCAAATGCCACCTGATTGCCCGCCATTCGGCGCCACTTGCCGCCTATAACAGCAGGGCGGCATCGCAGGACTTTCTCACAGTGATGGCGGCAGTTCTCCAAGCTCTAGGGATGAGGTTGTGCTGGGCATCCTCCTGGTCCAACATGCGGACGTCCAGTGCCTGATTGTGCTTCCTGATGAGGTTGTGCAGCATGACGGCAGCTCCAATGAGCAGGCGGACTGTGTCTGGTTCCTGTCTCATTTGGCCAAGGAAGCACTGGAACCGCAGAGCCAGAATACCAAAGGCATTTTCAACCACACGCCTTGCCCTGGACAGCCTGTAGTTGAAGATCTTCTGCTGTTGGTCCATGTTACGACGGCCATAGGGCTTCATCATGTACGTCCTCATGGCGAAGGCATCGTCTCCCACGAAGAAGTACGGCATAGTGTGCTCTTCATCATCATGGGGAAGAGGAGCTGGATCTGGGATGCCTAAAGTGCCAGCTTCAATGCACTCCTTCAGTTCACTGTTGTTGTAGATCTGGGCATCAGACTGATGGCCAACCCCACCCACATCGATCCACAGGAACTGGTACTTTGAATCTACCAGAGCCATCAGGACAACCGAGAAGAACTGCTTGTAGTTGAAGTAAAGGCTGCCTGATTTGTCGGGCTTCTGGAGACGGATGTGCTTTCCATCATAGGCTCCCAGACAGTGAGGAAGATTCCATCTGGCTTCAAAATGCAACCTCAAGCCAGCCTTCATTGGTTGTGGGGAGGGAGATGACTTCTGCAGCATACTCATCCACTACCGCTCTGGCTACATCAGGGACAAACTTCTGGATGGTTTCCTTGCCCACTCGGAAGTTGTAAGACAGCTCGGCATAGGTGGCCCCAGTGGCGAGATGGCGCAGGAAGACGGACAACTTGAGACCAGGGGAATGGCCTTCCTGATGTGGGTGTCCTTCTTCTGCAAGTGGGGTGTAAGCCTGACCAACAGGTCATCAAACATCTCTGGGGACACCCTGGTGTAGTTCTTGAACTTCCTCCTGTCATTCTCACTCAGCTCTTCCATCAAAGTGTGGTACTGTCCACGTTCGGCCCTCAACTGTGGGTGGAGCATGGGTCTAAACCACCAGTTGTGCTTCCTTTTCTTCTTAGGAGGCTCTTCTTCTTCAGGATTGACCAGCATAAGTTGATAGGCAGTGGCCACCTCAGCATCTCTCATCATCTTCTGATGGAGCAGCATCATCACTCCAACATTACCAAAAGCCTCAGACATATCAAAATTATATCAAATATTTAGTAGAGATGTTGTTCATACAGCAGCTGAGGAGGGTCTGAACCAGGTAGCCAATGGCCGGTATTAGTCGGCAAGTAGCGCCAAGCGGCGGCAAGTTCAAACCAATTTGGCGACCTTTGGCACAAACTAATCACCAAGTGGCGCAAAGTAGCCGTCTATTGGCGCGAATGGCGCCAACAGGGTGAATTTTGGAATCAAATGGCCGTGTAATGGCGCAAACTGGCGCGAACTGGCGCAACATTTTGGAGCAAGCCGGGTGGCATTTGGCGCACGCCATATGGCACCCAGTTTATTCCACTTGGCGACACATTCCGAGCGGACATTAATTCGGCGCCACAGCGAGCCACTACGCGCCAATCACATAATCTTTGGCGCGAACTGGCACCAACTGGCGCCGGCCCAGTGGACTCCTAGCATAAGTTGGCGAAATGGTCTGGTTAAGTAGGAGTTCCAGTCAAAGTCTACGAGGTTTGCGTTGATTTTGTACATCATATTGAGTCGGGCAATATTTCGTCTGGTTTCGAGGTCAGTCCACTGGAGAGAGGTTATCATGGCTGTCACGCTGGATTCTCTTAAGTAGTCGATGAGGCACATTCTTGCAGCAGCTCTTTGGACCATGTCAAGCTGATGTTTTTCTTTTTGTGTGCTAGGGTACCATGCAGTCGTGCCGTACTCTAGTTTGGGTTGTACAAGTGATAGATAAAGTCGTGATTTGACGTCAACAGTACATGCTTTGAAGTTGCGTCGGATGACTCCCAGTACCTTCTTAGAGCTCTTTGTGATGTTGTTAATGTGAGAGTTCCATTTTAGATCGCTGCTGAAGGTGATGCCCAAGTAGGGGTGGCTAGAAGTCACCTGTAGAGTGTTGTTAACATAGTTTAAAGGGGGTAATGTTTGGAGATTTCTTTGATGTGAAATGCATGGTAAAGCATTTGTCCGTGTTAAAAGCCATCTGCCAGTCGGAGCCCCATTTGGAGAGGGCGTCGAGATCCTTTTGAAGAGTTTGGGGGTCCATTTCAGAATTTATTTCCCGGTAGATTAATGCATCGTCAGCGAATAAACGTATCTTGGTACCTTTGGAGATACAGTCAGGCACGTTGTTAATGTAGATTAATGTAATTTCCCCGTGTTCACATACAAATACATTTATCATGATTTGTTAAGCAAATTATGACAATGCACATCAATTTTGTGATTTGTATTTTCCTTTGGCAATCATTAACCAATAGATTATTTTGTCTGATCATGTTACACTTACATTCACGTTTTAGCAATAGATATATTGATTATATGATTACTAACCAAGAAACATCATGCATGTTTAATATGTATTCGTGTACGAGCAAATTTTACCAGTATTCCTCGATGGGTGCAGGATTGCACCTTTTAAAGGGTGCAGGATTGAACCCATTAAGGTGCTGCTAGTGTTGCATCGGTTTGCACCCCTTAAGGTGCAGGAATGAACCATAAAGGGTACTATTTCCCCTAAAATGTTCAATCTGGCACCCTTTTAAAGGGTGCAGGATTGCACCTTTAAAAAGGGTGTAGGATTTAACCCCTAAAGGTGCTGCTATTGTTGCATAGGTTTGCACCCCGAAAGGTGCACCATTTTTTCTTAGTGTGTGTAGCCATGTTTACTTTATGTTTTATTACAAAACAGTTAGTTTCTGTCTCATTTCTATAATATCCAACATTGCGCTTTGATTCACACATGATTATGCGACCTGGAATAATTAATTTAGAAAATGTCGTCTTCTATACTGCATCATAATGATAAATCAGCTAATTTTCGAGTGATTTTTTTTTACTTCTATTAAGCATAATAAGGGACATTTTGTTTCCAAATCTTTATACTTGTATGAAAGTGGGATTATTTCTAATGATTATGTACTTTAAATTCTTATTAATGCTTTGTTATTTAACGTTTTGTTTTGTTTATTAAACAAAACAAAACGTTAAATAAATCGATGATCCTATTTTATAACCATTTGTGCATTGTAAACATTGCGCAATTATTCCCTAGACTACTATTTTTTTTTTAAATTTTAAATAAACCACATCGAATTGAATGTATTGATAAACAGTAGCGGATCCAGGATTTTCTTATGGGTGGGAAGAGGGGTTGGTGGGACACGTGACAAAAGGGGGTTTATCACACTCTTTAAATCTACAGAAATAAGAGTGCACTCTTTCAGGATTCATGTTAGGGAAAATTTTATTTTGAAACCATTCTCAAGAGAGTAATGCAAACCACTCATTGGAGTGGATTCCACTTTAATTTGGAATTGATTCAAATCCAAAACGAAGTGATCTCTAATATTCTAAACTCCCGAGTGGATTTCTACTCCTCCGCATTAATAGAGCATTTCAAATGAGTCATTCTGACAAGAAAAAAAAGGAAAAGCATCGGTTTTATACGGGGAGGGGGTTCCCCATGTCCCCCTGGATCCACCATCACCTTTCACATATTAAATGTGAAGGTGTCGTGGTATAGTGGTTCATTCACTTCACTCTCAACATAAGGATTGAGGGTTCGAATCTCAGCCAACCACTTACATCTTTTGACAAGACATTAATCTACATTTGCTACTATTCACCCAGGTGTAAGTGGTCACATGTTAATTGTTGCTATAATAATAATTGCAACGCCTTCAGGAAAAACAGCATTGATGCTGATGAAGCCAAGGTTGGTAATATTACTATTATTAATATCAAAGGTTGCCATGGCATACAAAATGTTGTGTATACCGCAGAGAGAATTCATATTTAGATGATATAAAAGTAGTCTTTCATTTAACATAAAAATGAAACATTTGAAGAATTTAACCTTTGATATATGATTCAATACAAACGACATTGAATAATTGTATTAGTTTACAATTTATACAGTTTAGTTTGAATATTGTTAAATGCATCGGAAATGTTATCTTAATAATTATAATCATACACAGTATACGTTTAGCTTATAGCCCCCGCATGACTGTTGCAAGTCAACAGTATTATACCACATCATTATGTTCTGTAGGTCTTTCTATATTATTCAAAGTATTGTTATCTACATATATATTTAATTTTAAGAGACCAATATACGGCCTTAAAAATGGACTCACTGAAGGAAACCTTTCTCCTGCTCAAAGACAACATTAAACTCTTAGAACAGGTACGTGTCAATATTTTTAGTTTGTAATATTAATGTATGCAGAACTCTTAATTTCGTTTTAGTTTATGATTGCATACTTCATCTTCTGGGAATAACATTAATGTTATGCATAACATGACTGGTTTTATATGGGGTGACTTTCTTGTTTCATTGTGATCGCAGGGCTTTGTTAAAGTCAAGCACATAGCCATTGGTGTTTGACTGAGTTTAGTTAACATTACTAAAATAAAAAGTCTGATCAATTAATTAAATCAGCGGGTCAAATCTCCCATATCAAATCTGCAATTTGGTCATGATCTGTGATGCTATATCACTCTTCAATTCGCTACTTAAAACGGGGGCTTATAGGTATAAGCCTCTTTCACACCGGATCTGCGTAGAGCTGCGTAGTGGGGCGTAGCGAGTACGCAATTACGCAAGTACGAAATTAGGCGGCGTATTCATTAAAAATAAATGTTGCTTCGGTGTAGCCCTTGCGTAAGTTATGCGTATGCTGGCTTACGATGACGTATGGTTACGTGCCCTATGCATAGGCACCGCCTACCTACGGCATATGCAATTGGCGTACCTACGCATACGATTGCATATAACAGGTGTAGGGTTGCGTACTTTTACAAATATCATTTTCGAGTCACGGGTAAAATTAAAGCTCCTCGGTGATGACGCTCGGTTACGTCTAATGGCGGAGTACATTTTTGAGATAATCTTGGGCAATAGTTTTAACCATGCACCTCAAAACATTCAATATTTGCATTCTATACTGTACTGATTGAATCAAGCATTCCTAATAAACAGGAGGCTCGTTTCCTACTCCATTGCCCCTGAGCCATCTATGCAAAGAGTTTGACCAACTTAAATCAGTTGGTCACAACCTTGGCGTGTATTCTTTTGTTTGTGCTTGACCAACAAAGCATTATTCGCTTTATTGTGCCCAACTCGAATTAGGTTGGTCAAACTTTGAACCTACATCTCTGTGCATGATTGTCCCTTCTTTCCAAACTCTTTATCTCATTATATTCGTTTGGCTCATGTTTGATGCAGGTAGCAGAAGTAATCTTCCGGCACATGCGTTCAGAATTACGCAAGGATGCAATCGAACCCGATCTTCTCCGAGTAGTTCCGATCCTACTCGAGTGTCCAGCCTTCGACAGACCGGATAAAGAGTGGGGTGATCGAATCATCAGAGAAATGGCCGAAATCTTGACACGGATGCATAAAGCTACGAAGAGGAACTTCGAAGTGCTTGGTAAAAACAAAATCAAAAGTGGCTTGAAGCATAATGTACATTGATATATCTCACGCCAGGGCATTGGATCTACTGTCGTTTACACATCTCAATTTTATTACATGACATTATTACGGTTAATTACAAATATGTGCTCGTAGCGGTCTACTACTTGCAATTTCCTGAGAATCATTACTTAACGATAAAAATACATTTCTTAGTCTTGAACTTAAAGAAAACTCATAACAAATTGACTACAACTGGGTGATTTTAGACCGATATGAAGCATAGAATGGGTCTTGATAACTTAAACCATCGGACCATGATATAAACTTCTTTATTTTCGATTGACAGTTTGTTGGTGGAGTAAGGACTCGGATCTTTTAGCCAGAGTGGTTAAGGTCTACGTACAGGCATTCAGGAATGACCTGAAGGATTATCTGGACAACACTGCGTCGAAACCATGTGATAACCTATACTTAGATGTATTGGTACTCTTGAGACAGGTTCGTATGTTTGGGGAACGGAAATGATTTACTGTTATTGGTCGTTCTGACTTTTCATGTGACATATTATAGCAGTTTGAATATGCATAGCTGTGAGATACATAGTGATGTAGACCTATATCAACAAAATGTAACAAAGTAGCGGGTGATTATCTGAGGCATACTGTTGAGGATATGTTGAACATTTTACCTTTAAACTCTTCCGGTCAGCAACCTTTACTATTAACCCCCTGAGGTTTATTATTGCACATCCAGTGCGAAATGTAGTACTCATTGATACTGTTTCAGTATTTCGTTTCTATTTGTAAAATTAAAGGGCAATGCAACCCTTATTATAAGTTTATTTGTATGAAAGAAGACAAATAAGATAGAATGGCGAAAATTTGATATTGGACCTGTCTTTCTCCCTAGTGTCTTCTCCCTTAGGACACTACTCAAAATATATAATTGATAGCATATTGATATAAATCCTATAAAGAGGATAGACTCTCCTAAATCATATATTATTGAACAAGTGAAATTTTCGTCTTTTTGTGTGTTTGAACAACAAGGAATGTTGTATGCCACTACATCACAGAGACATTACCGATTTAGCCAATTTGAGGAGCCCATGTCTGTAGTGATCACAACTTTCAAAAATTCACAACATTCTCAATTTTGTCCGGTTTCATTCAAACTTTCACCAGACTACTTCTCTGATTTGTCTGCTTTCCTCGAGAGTAGTTTGATATCAAGGTAGGATTTACCTTTTAAATACGTCTCTGTGGACCTGCTCAATGCAAACTTGTCTCACTATGATGCAATGAGATTGAAATAAGTTAATGGATTATTTCACATACAGATCAATACATCGCATGGGTACACGATTCCCGTGAATCAGTTTTACATCCTTCAACCAGGAAATGAAGAATTAAACAGGAAGATCAAGAGGCTTATTCTTCAGCTTCATCATCAGCATTTGCAACTCCCTCACCTGGTATTTATTCAGTCTTGTTATGCTTCACATTTTCAGGAAAACATTACACAACACTACAAAAGACAATCATAAAATTATAGGCCAATTCATCGTAAAGTTGTTGTTGACAATATATATTGTGCTAATCATCATCAGCATTTCCATCACCACCACCATCATCATCATAACTAACCATTATTCATCAATCATCTTCACCATCGTTATTAACCATCACCCCCTGACATGCCTGATAATGGGGACAACCTTCACCATGATCATTTTGCATATTCGGCTGTTGAGACCGCGAGGGATGCTGTATTTCTCACAACTTGCCTTATACACTTCAATGACGATATTACAATAAAAAAATACTATTTTTCATTGGCGCTATCATATCGGTGGTTTTATCCATGGCTTTTGTTAATAGCTTGCTATATCTACAAACTGTAAAGTTAATGTTAAGACATAAATTTGATAACTGTCTGTAAATTTTAATGGGATGTTCCCCTTCACACCCCTCCTAAAAAGGTACTGATTATGAAAAGAAGAAAACAATATCAGATGAATAAGGTATTGTGTACAGGAGGGAGGCACTTGAAGGCAATAAAATATTCTAACTACTCAATATCTCTTGATTAAAAAAAAGGATAAATGTCAACTCTTTTATTTTGAAATAAATGATAAACACATGTGTCAATAATGTGGTTACTACTTGATATAAATATATATTCTCGATAATGAATTAGATCTGTATCACGATCTAGTGGAAAATGTAACATTTCATTCTAGATTCTTATATAGAAACGTATTATTATAGATTTATGATGAATTCTAATCAAAAACAGTCCGTGGAATTTCGGCCATCTCACAGCCGGGGGGGGGGGGGGGGGGGGTGTATCATCTGATCTCGCCTGTGGATTTGAGATTATATTGAATCCCGTCATTGACTTTTTTCTCTTCCCTGTCCGCTTATGCAATCTAAATTGTTTTATGTTCGTTTAATCAGCGTCTCCTTTCATTAGCCAACGTGCCATGGGTACTGGACGTACCTCTGAAGTGGGAAATGCTGTGTATGGAGTTCGACTCTGCATGTCAGGTATGTTTAAAGCTCTATTCATTGACAAGTCATGGTGAAGTCGTAAAAGCAGTTGAATGAATTCAAATTAATTTCATACAATGGTCACTTTCTATATCATTCTTATTCTCATAACCATGAAAAGGCGAGTAAAAGAGGGGTTTGCAATTTTGGTTAATGAGTCATGCATATATCATTTTCAAGGTAGTTATTGAGACAATTATTATGATGATTAAAACAATAGTTCCTTGAGAGTTCACTTCTTCCCTATTATGACCGGTTTCAATTTTATTTCTTGATCTGAAGGGGAAAAAATGAAACCGGTCATAGTGAAGAAGTGAACTCTCAAGGATTTTTATAAAAAAATTCACTTGTAGTAGGTGATGAATGTTTGTTCAATCAAAACAAAACCAGAATGTAGCTAGAGCTTTATCTTTTAGAATATTTTTCATTATTTCTTACTTTGGTGATAAATAACCCAAAGTGAACTACAGCACTTAAAATTGTCGTTTTAGTGCATCTCATTTTCAGATAACCTAAATCACATTTCCCCCTATCTCTTTCCTCGATTTCTATTAGTTTCTTTTTTTCTTCTTTTTTTCTTCATTTTGTGTGTGTGTTGTTGAGACGTAAGGCATACCAAATCGCTTATCTTTCGTGCTTGAGTTATTATTCCATTATTATCTACGGTTGTACGGCTGGAAGGCTTATGTTGTTTCAAATACTGTTTTACCCATGATATCCTATAGCTCCGACAGAAGGAGATATTTCTACTAAAATTTGAGGAAGTTTTCGGAAGAGGATCATGCCTTATGTTGGTAATTATCTTAAGATATCTTAAGATAGACTTGGAACCATTTTACCTTCGATTCGAGATTGACGACGACAAAAAGAAGGTTGTTGAATCGGCTATCTCGGAGCTAAAAGGTAAAGATGAAACGTCTCTCATGCTCCCGATGGAAGTCCATTTCAAGGATAACGTGTCTTTGGGTCGAAATGCTGGTGGTCCCATGAAGGTAAATATGAACACCCTTTCACACGGTGACAATTACTTTCGTAAAATCAACCGAAGGCAATTTCAATAGCTTTGTGCGTCACCTATCTAAATGTGTAAACATGATGATGACGTATTACGTAATCTGAACATTATTGATATTGGAAATACAATAGCGTATTGAAATTACCCTCGAGTTGATTTTCGAAACTAGCTGCGATCGCGTAAACATAACTTTAACTTCAAAAGCTTGATGTCAGTTGTTATTCTTTGACGCCGTCTGAACAGTATACAGATATTGACTGGCAGGGGGTTTAATATTATACAGTTATTGACTGGCAGGGGGTGTAATATAACATTATTTGGACTGCTGAAGGGAGTTATATTTCCCAAGTGGTTATATTTGCCCGAAGCGCGCAGCGCTGAGGGAAAATATTGTCACGAGGGAAATCATAACTCTCTTCAGGTCCGAAGAATGTTATATCCCCCCTGACAGTCTATATCTGTGACATATTCAAATTCAAATTCAAATTTTATTGATTTCAATCCAAACAGATAGGATCGTTCTCATTTTTTTTTTGTTAAAGATAAAAACCAGTTCTGGTCAAGTGTTGCATTGTGAAAGAAACGTTGTGGAATCGATCAGAAAAGGTTGATCATCTAGCATATCAGTTTTGGTGTGTACTGCAAGTTCTGGAATCATCAAAATGATAGAGCAATTTTTTTTTTGTGTCCCAAAATTTGAAAATTTGGCCGATCGATATTTTGTTTCGTAGGGGGGGGGGGTAAGGTCAGCTGTTTGGGGTCACCCATTACCACAATTTTTTTTTTTTTTTTTTTTTAAATGTGTATTTTTTTTTAAACAACCAAAGGTGTTTTTCCCCCTCCAGAACACACACATAAAAAAAGCTAAAAAGGGGGGGGGGGGGGGGGGTTCAACCCCAAACGCCCTCCCCCCCCCCTGCGTACGCGCCCGACACTGATATATATGTTTCTGATTACCAACCCCTCCTCACGAGATGACCCCGACAACTCGACCCTATTCCAAATCCAAACTCGTGGAAGACGGTGGGCATGGAAGACAGTAAATAATGCTTATTACAATACTAAATTACATCGAGATTAATAATAATGGTAAAATCAATCAATGATCTACTAATTTAGACATTTTAAAATTTTAAAATAAAACAAAAAACCATTAGTAATTAATAGCTGTTTCCGATCTTTGATTCTTTTTGTGCATTTGGGGTTTTGTTTTACTTTGTTTTGTTTTGTTTTGTTTGAAACGTGTATTTTCCTTTACATTTCTCGTAAAGGAATTCTTTTCCCGACTGTTCGGAGAGCTGTTCAATGTAAAGAAGCATTCCATCTTCAAGAAACTCAACGATTCTCCTTCGTGTACGACATTGTGGTTTAACAAGGTCATTATCGAAACCAAATTTCCATCTCGGAAGTTCAGTACAGTACCCATTATTACTTATCTCAATATATTGTTAATGTAAGTTGATTATAGCTATTGCTGGTGACAACGGGTGGTTGGCAGCCGGGGAACACAATAGTATTTGCCCCCCCCCCCCCTCCTCCTCCCTCTAAATCTCTCTCTTTAAAGTACGTTTTCTGTATAGAAACTTCCACATGTAAATTAAATGTTTTGCTTGATTTAATCTTCAATGCCAATGCACTAATACTGTAATAGTGCCTTCTTTACCCCCCCCCCCAATATAAAAGCCTTCCTTGCTCACCCCAGAGTTACTTTCGAAAATCTATCGACATTGTCGTCTGTTCATGAATTTATTGGTTTTTAATCTGATTACTCGACCATGAGTAATTAAGACCTGTGGCCCAGTTTCCAGTGAGTGGGTTCGATACTCAGGCAGGCAAGCTCCCGGCCCCTCCACTCAGTGTTATTTAGGGTACGCATGTTCCCTCCTTTTGAAAACACCCCCTAAGTCCGTTGTGTAAAGTCGTTTTTGTGTACTACGAGCCGAACTTTGGTGCGTGAAAAGTACCCCTTTACCGGACATTTTGGTAACACACATGGTATCTCTCCGTTCACGGAGTGGGGGGGGGGGGGGGGGTGAGGGCAAGCTAGTGTCCAAACGGGATCAAAATCTTGACTTTATAACCAAAAAGTTACAAACTATTTATTACCATGAGTACTAACCAATATTTTGCGTCCCCCCTCCATATACATAATGTTTGTTGGCCAAGAAAAAATATGCCTTGTCAATTGGGAAATAGTGTGCACCATCATTCGGATCAAAACACCATGCAATAAAAGTTTGTATTCTTCTATATTTAAAATTTTAACATAGGATTCTAAGGACCTGGACAAATTACGATCAGTCGGGACGCTGTTCGCTCTGATGTTCTACAATAAGGTCATCGTCACAATGCCGTTTCCATTTCTTTTCTACAAGAAACTGCTTGGAACTAGGTACACACCCAATCAACAATTTTTAATTTAATCGCAGAAAGACAAGGAAGTTATGTGTCTCTAATATTTGGGGGCCAGGGGGTACAAAGTTCTTCATTCCTTTGCAATTTTTGTTCCCATTTCGTACTATTTTCATTTGTATTCTCGAACTAGAGAGCTCATTGATAATTTTTTCCATTATTTTAAAAACATTTCAAAATGATTGTAAGTTCTTGCGAACTAAGACGAGATCGAGCTTTCCCGACTTGTTTCTCCGATTACCTTACGAGTTGTATACCGAGTTTGTTGGACAGATAGCTCGATGTCAAACTCCACAAGCTCTTGGATAGAACATACCAAAGAATGATTACATGCATAATATTATAAATAAATGGATCTGGAATACATTGAATGTAAGAGCTAGCTAATGATTAGAGAAAGGGGGAGAGAGAAGAGAGGTGGAAGAGAAAGAGAGAAAGAGAGAGAGAGATAGAGAAAGAGAGAAGAGAAGAAAAAAAGAGAGAGAGAGAGATAGAGAAAGAGAGAGATAGAGAGACAGACAGAGACAGAGACAGAGATAAACAGAGAGAGAGAGAAAGAAAGATGAGGATGCATTGCTGATTACATACAGTTTATTCTAAATTATTCTTTAGTTATTAACTGTAGCTTGTCACGCCAGGTGACCAGAGAAATAATACGACTCTATTTTAACAATATTCAGCCCATCCAGTTTGGAAGATCTGAAACTACTAGATCCCGGGATGGCGAAGGGCATGGAAACATTGATAGAGGCGAGTGACTTTGAGCTTTCCGACTACAGATTTACAGTCGATGGACCGGTGAACGAACCGGAGATCGAACTCAAACCAGGAGGCAAAGACGAGGTCGTGACCACGTCAAATGTGTAAGTGCAGTACGACCTAGTCAGAAAGATTTATACCGTTGTGTGTTTTAAAACTTCTACATTGGACATGTCGATGTGGTCGTGGAAGTATATGAATTATGGTTCACTTTGTCTTGGAATGTAATTAAAAAAACGTCCCTGAATTGTTTATTACAAATTATCTACATTAAATTCCTTTCTGAATACTAGTTCTAGAATTATTAGATAATAGATTTCATACTAACGCCAAACATCATTTCAAAACAAATGTCACATATCATTTGGAGTTTATAGCTTTAATTTTGACAGTTAAAAAGTGCCTTTCTTGTATAAATTTGGCACTCGATTTCGAGACTTCCACCCCCTATATTGATTATGGTATCCTGAGAAGTAATTTTGACCAATAAAAGAGATGCTTATAAATAAAGACTGTATTATCTTAACTCCCATTTCCAACCAAAACCTGAAAATGAAGTGAATCCTGAAGTCTTATTGGCTTTCAATGGAAATATTTCTTTTATTTTTCGAATTCCAGTGGAGAGTACATTGAGCTTTACGCCAGGCACTACACAGCGTCCTCCCAGTTCAATGTATTCAGTGAGAGTTTTCGGAGTATGTTCGGTCGTTTAAGTCTGCACAAACGTTTCGCACCGCAAGAGCTGATGTCATTATTTCAAGGAGGGGAATATGATTGGAAGGCCTTTCAAGAAGTGAGCTCCTCTTCTTTAATTTGTTTATAAAAATCTTCTCTCATCAACGCACTTTAAAATCCACAAATGTAGAAAATTAATCTACTTCAAAGCAAAATATCTTGATTTTTGTTTACATAATGCAAAGTTAGTAGGTGCTTTAAGATTTAATAGAAGACAATTTATTTCAAGAAGATAAAACAAAGATAATACACGCTGTATACTTAAAGTTTGTTTCTTGAGAAATAAATTTGAAATTGAGTTTATTTTTTTGTGGCACAAATCAATTATCTTTTCTTTGTTGTTGCTGTTGTTCATTTTCATGTTTTAATTTGCTCTTCTCTGCACAGAGCTTTGGTTATGATGAGAAAGGCTACACAGCAAACCATCGCGTGGTCAAGATGTTTTGGTCAGTGTTCCATGGTGATCTCACTGAGGATGACAAAAGAGACTTTCTGAGTAAGTCAAATCTTCACTGGTGATCGTTGACCGACAAAGGTCTAACTGTATGTAAATAGACGTACCTACATGTATAGCACAGTGCTGTATGAAAAATAGATAGTATAAAGACGATCAGTCACTTCGTCGTGTTTGAACGTATGACATTGATAATACCTTTTAAAACGTCCTGTGACAAGACAAATATTGTGCTGCTTTGGCATCTTTTTTGTCATTTTGACATGCATGGTGTTACTTTCAAGACATTGATAGTGTCACTGTGACAAGATGATAATAACCTAGTCATGTCTTTCACTCTGCATGTTTCAGGGCACATTGCTTTCATGATCCACCAACTACCTTTGATTATGTCGGAAGGCACTCTTTTTTTCCAAAAGTAATAAAAGGTTTGAAATTCAGAAGAAAAAAAAAATCCCATACCAGGTGTGGTCATAATTCCGAAAATGAAATAGAGTTCATTCTCCGAAAGTTCATAATTCTTAACAAATTATATAGGGTTCTATGTCATTTTCGGAATTAGAAACGTTCAAATTCATGGAAATTATGAGCCCTATTTCATTTTCCGAAATACGAACCTTCCGAATTGTTAACCTTCAGAGTAAGAGACTTTTTGATTTATGAGCCTTAAAGGTAAAGACCAGTATTGGAAACGCCCCAATTTCAAAAAATGAAATGGAAGCTCTCATTACCAATCATGTGAAAGAATATGTTTTGACTAATACATGATGATAAAAAATTTGCCGGGAAAACGCCTACTAATTCATATATTTGGTAAATTTGTTTCTCTCATGGTCTGTGAGAGATATAGGGTAGTCCCATATACATCTTTCTGTGTATAGTGCTTGTAACTTTACGAAGAATGGGCCAAATTTCTTATCATTTTGATGATTCCAGAACCTTGCAGATGCTAGATGCTAGATGATCAACCTTTTCTGATCGATTCCACCACGTTTCTTTTACAATGCAATCGCATGACCAGAACTCGTCTTTACCTTTAATAAGAAAAATGGACAATGACCGATTATTCATCTTCTAATGCAAATTGTTTTCAGGAGTCATGACAGGTGCTGACCATGTCCCCATTGGTGGAATCCAGGAGGTTAGACCTAGGATGTGGCCAATGGGAGGAGACAAAGATTGTAAGGGGAAACCCCCGAAGGACATGTGCCCTGAAGTGAATACATGTCATGGTTTTGTCGTGCTCCATCTCCCGAAGTACAGGAAAAGAGAGCATCTAAAAGAACGACTCATGAAGCTAATAGAGATGAAAGGGCATGGATTTCATAAAATACCAGACTGAACCTTTGACTGTCGTAAAGACTTTAACAGTCTCGTATTCGGACATTGACTTATTATAAATCAATATATAATATCTTAGTTAAAGAAAAAAATTCAAAACTGGTTAATGAATTGTCCTGTTGGGTCAATGAATAAAGAAAAAGTTAAGAAATTGTATGGAATCCTATCTGTCATACGCGGTGGCACTAAATTCGGTCACAGCGACAAATCGACCTATTTTGGGCCACTGGGAATAATGTAATTGAAAACTTTGTTTTGTTTGGTATTTGTCTCGTTTGTGTGACTGAGCTGAGACAACATACGACATAAACAAAGAATGGAATATATTGAAATGCCTGTCATTTTCTGCATCATACATAAATAACATGATCCATCGTTTTAATTGAATTGAATTGAATTGTACAACATTAGACTTTCTATTATTTAGAAGATTCAGTCGGTTTTTGTTTTCAAAGTGGCCTATATCGTGTAGTTTTATGCATTTTGAATCATAGCATTCAAATGACTATCCATTCAAGTTGTCTGAGATGGAGGATATGGTAGTTATTAAGATTAAGTTTTGTTGTTAGTTTCCTCAATCATTGCTGAGTGCGCTTCGCTATCACAATATAAACATGTAAGGAAGGCAACAAAAAAGGCGACTATGAGGATGATGAGGATAAGAAAAAGATAAAGACAAAGTTAGACACGTTCTGGTTGCCTTTACAAGATGCTCATCCATTTTATATTTCTAGCACTTTGGCACAGCAGAGCACACTGGCATAATACATGTATTGAATACAACCAGCTAGTTCATGACATTGAGGTAAGCAACAAGCAGATGTTAACCAGAAAACAAACAGACTATATTATTGCATTTTCCCAGTAGATCTGGTTATTAGATGGTAGCCAAGGATTTGATTAAATTTGATGTAATAACAAATTGCTCAGATGGTGTCAAACATGTCTTGTCTAGGGGAAAAAGTTATCAACACATGGATATGCAATATGTAAAATATAACTAATTTTGATGATTGCGAATAAAATCATAAAATTTCAGACAGATTGTATTGCAGCAATACGCCGATTTGCACATGTATATAAATGAGAAAATAATGTCAGATGTGCACCGTAAGCTTTAATTTTTCCTCTGCGTCGTACAGAGTACTACACTAAACAATTGTATACTGATGGCGTACTAAAAGTGTTGTATATTCTCGCAGTTGTGTATATATATATATACTTCATTAAACTGATAATCCATATGAAAATATCTTTCAACAATAGACCCCGATTATCCACAGATCTTCGAAACATGAAGAGGTCCCACTTTGTAGATTTTGAAATAATCACTCCTACAGCGATGGAGGTGTTATATAAATATCCTTTGTTTCCCCTTTTCAAAGAATCTTTTTCGAAGAATACTTCCACCTGTGTATCATGGAGTGCACTGAATGTGCATGAATGAATACTGTTACATAACTTTCATGAGCACGTATACAGTATTTCGTCTCCGTGTATTTCAAAATTTGTTCTGCAATGACCTTTATCTGCTCATGCTCAGACTGCAATCGTGAACTGGCTTATTATTTTTTATCATCGTGTATTTTTCTCCACAAGGCGCCATGTAGGCCTATTGTCTTGTGAGACATAGGCGCGGTTTCTTCACGATGATTTTTATAATACAAATATAATTATAATTATGATTGAATGTAAATATCATTTTGGATGAAGAAATTGTCATTGCTTTTATTCGGTTATGGGGGGAAAACAACATTTGAATGCCAAATGGTCCACTGAAATTCGATTTTTTTTAATTTTTTTTTTAATTTTTTTTTTTATTTATTTATTTATTTATTTATTTTTTTTATTTTTTATTTTTTTTAAATTTTTAAAATTATTATTTTTTTTTTTTTTTTTTTTTTTTTTATAGAAGCATTTAGGTTTTTAACTAACAGATTTACTATACTAAATTGTAATCGTTTTTCATGAACTTTGTTTATTATTTTTTCGTAATCATGACAAAAAGTATTGAATATTAAAACTTTGAATTGAATTGAATTAAATCGAATCGAATTGAATTGAATAGAATTGAAATGTAATATAAATACGATTTAATTGTATACATTTTTACACGTCTGTAAAAACACAATTACACACAATGTCAAAGCTTAATAATGCTTTACAGGTACCTTTATTGGACTTCTTCTAGCGACCAATAACGCAGAAATACAACCAAACAAACAAACATCATCTGTTAATCATTAGTGAGCTTTTTCTTATAGTTGTTAATGTGTGTTTTTATGTTACCTATATTCAATCATTTTTTCCTTTTTCTTATTAATATCAATTTGAGTTGAATTATTGCAAATGCCATGTATATTTTTACCTTAGTATTTATGTTTTTAATTCCTTTTTTAAAATTTATTGTACATGTTCTGGGAGAGCAGGTCCAGAAATTGACTTGAAATGAGACCACCCTTTTGAAATAATACGATGTACTAAAATAAACAAGTCAACGCACAGCGTAGTATCCCCTCGCAGGGTACAAATGGCCTATATACGTTAGAACACGTTACCTCCATTGGACTGTACTATTATATTACTAGGCAAGGAAGTTAACCACATTTTCACATATATAATTAGGTGTTTTTGCATATTTAATGAGCTATGAACTTTCACCTTTGACCTACATACTCAGAAATCGAACTTAGGCTGTACATGTATTTTGATACCATGTACCTTCATATTAGTTTTATTAAAATTCGTCGAACATTACTGAAGTTATCAAATGGAAACCAGATTCGCATATTTAATGAGCTATAACATTTGACCTACATACTCCGAAATCGAACTTAGGCTGTGTTTTGATACCATGAACCTTCATATCAAATTTCATTAAAATCCGTCAAACAATACTAAAGTTATGGATCGAAAACCAGATTCGCATATTTAATGAGCTATGACCTTTGACCTTCGACCTACGTTCTCCAAAATCGAACTTGGCCTGTATTTTTATATCATGTACCTTCATATCAAATTTCATTAAATACCATCTTCTTATTTGTCTGATATATTTATATTGCATTTTATGTTTTCTCTTTCTTTCGACATTCTTTATTTTTGTTGAAACATCTCTTTATTCATATCTTCATATTTGTCATTATACATGTCTTTGAGGTTATTTTTTAAATGGTTTGTTTTGATCAATCTTGATTGAGTAGGTGATCTTTTCATCTTTTCTTTAACATCTTTTTCTTTATTCATCATCGTATTTTGTTTCCATCATGTCCATGTCTATTAAAGCTGAACTCTACCTCTGTCCAGGATCTTTTTATATAATTATAGATTGTGCTTAGAAGAGAAGTCACAAACTGTGCACCTTCTCTGGGGACAGTTATACCTGTGTAATGACAGATATCTACAAACGAATACGCATGTCATTCCTCCAAGTAAACTTTGCATGAATTATTCAAACAGAAGTATATGAAGTGACAAATTAACATCAAATGAAAAGCAATGCAAAAATGTCACATAATATGTATGCTCAATCACGAACTTGAATGCACGAATACATACCACCGTCTGCCCGGCGCGAATTTGAATGTTCTTTGCACGCTTTTCTAAATTGAATGCTCGTTTTGCACGTCTCCGTGACAAGAGTATGAAATCGCATGCTACTAAATTAAATTGAATCACGCTTTTTGAATGTTGATCTACATAGTCATTCAATTTCGCACGAACTTGAATAATGGTAACGTTAATTCGGATGCTAAGTTTACGAAGTTGGGCGGGAAAACCTATAGTTGCGATCCCCATTGGTTTACATGTTAAAACTTAGTTTGGGCGGAGCGCGGCTACCATAGTTTTTGTGCGATAAATTTGATGGCTACATTTGCACACAACGCAGATGACCGCCGATCTCGATTGTGGGCCTAGATCTACATGTAATGACGAGATGATGCACCTTTCGAAATATGGAGATAAATATGATCTTTCATACGGCACCTCATTTTTTTAGTATCACCTTTAGGATCACAAGCAACAAAGGTTTGAATCTCGATTTGGAAATAATTTACATTCCAGTCAGGTGTTACTTGACGCTCGAAAACTGTTTGACCAACAATGACGGTCGCATGTTACTGGGTAACCATTTACACATGGGTGGAGGGTAGCAAGTGGAGGTTAATATCTTGCCAAAAGATAGTGCCTTCAAATAAAGATCAAGGTTCGATCTTGTTTATAATTTACAAAAAAGGACTTGGGCAATATTTCTAAAATGTTGAATTGCATTTTGTGTGCAGATGACACCAGCTTGTTCATGTCTCACCATAATATCGATACGTTACAAAATGTTTTAATAATGAACTGAAATATGTATTTAAGTGGCTAATTGTCAATAAATTAACTATACATGTTAGGAAATAACATTTTATGGTTTTTACGAACAAAAATAAAGCGTCTTTCAAAATTGATGTCTATTTAAATGACATGCCTGTCATTGAAGTTGAATTTGCTACCTTTCTAGGTGTCACTGTTGATAATAGGTTAACATGAAATGAACATGCTGGTGCCGTCTGCAATAAGATTGCCAAAACATTGAAATTATATATAAACTTCATAGAGAATTCTTCTTATATTGTATAATATTTTGATTTTACCGTACTTAAATTATTGTAATATAGGCTGGGGTCATACTTTCCAAATACATATTAATAGAATATTTCGTTTACAAAAAAAGGCAATGAGAATTATAACTCGCTCACCTTACCTTTCTCTCTCTGGACCCTTATTTTCCTCCTTGAAATTTTTTCAATATTATGGACTTATTAAAACTGAATATAGCCTTGTTTATGTTTTCTTATAAACAAAATCTGTTGCCAAATTCGTTATTGAGCTATTTCTGGTTAAATACATCTGTGCATAATTATTTCACAAGAAATTCTCGAAATATCCACATCCCAAAGTGCAATACCTCCCTTTTTAAAAATAGGTTATTTTACCAGGGTCCAGTGAATTTGGAATTCAGTTCCCTTTAACATTCAAAATAGCTCCTCAGTATCTTTTTTTAGAAGGAAATATAAAGCAGTTTTATTATCTAGATATTAGATTCAGTATTGGGCTCTTGTGTTTGTTCATTAGGTTAGTTACTTAATTTCTTATCTTAGTCTGTGTTCCTTTTTGATGTGTTTTTATGTTACATATTGTATATCTTGTTTTCTGAAAGGGTTGGCCTCTTACAAGGTTTGTTTGTTGGCCTCTTACAAGGCCACTGCCTTCCTCATAAT